GGCTGTCACCAAGGAGCCCAAAGCTGCCTCTTTGCATCCCATGCTCTCCCTTTTTTCCTCGGGCATGCTTTGGCACTAGCATCACTGGGGTGGTCATGAGCCCTTTTGAAGGAAGCAATCTGACACAGGGGAGGCATCACTGTCTCACTTAGCCCCGCACGAAGTCCCCTGTGGGCTGCCTTGTCTCTGCCGCTGGCACAGCCTGTGGGTCAGCAGTGCAGCCCTGCGCCAATTAAGCCATGCAGCACAGCAGGGTGTGTGTGCCTTGGCCATCACAGCCTCCCTTGGACACTGCAGAGAAAAGGCTGAGGCTTCGCAATGTTAGCCTTCCAAGAACCACTTTAATTGCCCAGTAATGCACACCCTGGGGTCTTGTAATGTGCTTCTAATATGGAGCATTTAAAATATGAATAACGTCAAAACAATTACAAGGAGTTTGGTGCTCTGCTGAGTGTATCCTTCCACTCCAAAAAATAACCCATGACAAATACGATCAAAGTGAGGATACCAGGGCTTTCTGAAACCTGGCAGGGTCTCTCTGTGGCAGCAGGACTCAACACTCTTTCACTTAGTGCAACTTTACTCTGTTCTTCCAGGATTAAAAGAATCACTAGATTTGGGCTCCAGATGGTTCAGACCTACCTTATCTCCCTCTGATCAGCCCTAGCATAATTTTGTTTAATTTGGGATATTGTCTAAAGACTCTGCCAGCAATAGTAAGAAAGGAGAAACCACAGAATATGTCAGGCTGTAAGAGAGTTTGGATAGAAATGTCAGAGAAGCAAGGGGCATTTCCTATGATCTGTTATTCTTTCAGCAAATAATTTTTGGATAGGTTTAGAAGTGATTTTTTTAGTTGCTTATTTATAAAGAGTGAAAGAAAGTTCTGCTTCTCAGGAAGGACTATGGCTTAGCTAATTTATCTTCTAGTGTTTCTCTACATTCTTAACCAAATTTGATTAGAGCTTGTTACAACTGTCATACTAGGAGAGATGTTTTTTGTCTGTCCATCTGTATTCAGAATCAGCAAAAAGAATTGCATTAAAACTGCTGAAAATGATGAAATAGAAATCAAAAAACTGAAATTCATGATCTAATGCTGAACGTTTAAGAAAGTTGAAGGCATTTGGAAACAGGCAGTTTCAGCTGGAGCTGTATGCAGTATTAACTCTAGAAAGAGTTACTACAAGCCAACTATGGTAACTCATGTATTTCAGAAATGGATTTATAATTCACAGTATGATACTCTGTACTGTAATGACATTATATGCCATTACTTAAGATAATATTGCATATTAAATTCAGATTGTGAAATGAAGTTCAGTTGCTTTACTGCAATAGAAGATCTATAAATGTCCTGTTGCTGAAACCTCAGAAATATTGTGTTAAATCTGTGTATATTCTCTGAAACTCAAAGTAGACAACCTGTGCAAAAACCTCCCCCTGGAAATGAAAAATGTGAATTTGCAGTAAGTGCCAGTTTGTGCCCCTAATTAAACACAAATGTGGTTGTTGGAGTCACTGACTGTGATGGAATTAGAGCAGGGATGAATTTAGTACTAAGTGACAATTTCTTTTGGAGAAAAAAAAAGCGGTTTGAAATACTGGCATTTACCTCAAGAAATCAGCACTGCTGACTGGTGTTCCAGGATCTGTGTGCCTAATGCTTTTGGGAAGGGCTGAGGAAGCTTTCTTCAGAAATGCTTGTCTTTCTCAAGTGTCTGGATGCAAGAAGCCATCAAAGGCAGCAAGAGATGAGCAAGGCTTTGCTCTCTCTTGCACAGCAGTAATCCAGAAATCCAAGGTTTGAGGCAGCAGAGCTGGGTTAGTGTGTATTTCAGTCTCCAGTGAGGGTGAGAAGCTTTCAGAAATCCCCAAGTTTAAAGACAGCATTATTATGCTGTGTCTGTTGCTACAGGACCAGGTCAGCTCTGTTCATCTTTCATCTGCTGTTTCATTAGGTGGTCTCTTATAGGACAGACACACTAGAAGCCTCTTAAAGCAGCAGCAGTGATGCCTAGCTATTCTGCTGTTTATCGCTGCTCCTAAATGAATTGATCCAGAGGGATGCACTGCTGTATTCCATACTGAGTGTTAGGGTCCTGAAATTTTTTGTACTTCCTTACAACACTAGAGTTCAGTCACAACTATAGGGCAAAGGAGAATCACTGGAGAGAGCCTCTTCATGACCTGCCTCTTCTTTTAGTCATAGGAAATACCTTCTACCTGAGACTTCATTAGATTTGCTGTGCATTTGATGCCAAGAATTATTTGACCTAAGACACTGGAGGTTGCGCAACCAGAACTGCTCCCCTTTGCTCACTGTTTCCAGAAACTTCCTCTTGACATAAAACCAGATTAATTCTTGGGAGGGGAACGTTTTTGAGCAGAGCCTTTCACCTCTGGGTCACTAGATGAAATCTGGCCCTGGTCAGTAGTGACTGAAAATCATTACCAGCTGACGGCTACTTGGGGAAATGAGATGGTGAGTCTCATTCCAGTTCCTAATGGACACATCTCAGCAAACACAGTCACAACTGGCACTAACTGGCATTCTCAGCTGAGAGACCACAAACTAAACAGCGAAGGAAATTGAACCTTCCTCTTCATCCCTTGCCTGGGTTTCAGAAGCATTATGGACATGCTTTCTATACCACCATTGTTTCACAGGCTGGGTTTACTCTAAATGGCTTTTCAAAACCTTGTCATTTTTGTGCAGCATGATTCAGCACAGCCTGGTCAGCTATCCCAATATAATTAGGCTCATGTATGGCTCCCCTCAGTAGAAGCTGAGCTGCCTGATGCCACCTACCAGTACGAATGGCAAATCTGATGTCATATCTCAGTATGAACGGAACTGTCTGATGTCACCTCAGTGCTAATGGGACATTTTATAATATGACATCTAAGGCTGCAGGGGAGATCTTCTAATCCATTCACTGTGCCACACTACACTAGAACATAACACAGTATAATGTGTAGGTTAACTTAGGAACCCTCAGGCAAATTTTGGATAGATGGACAGATGGATGGATGGATACATTTATACAAAGTATACATACATTATATCACTCTATTGATTTTTAAAAAGTTCCAGGTCTGCCTGGCTATAATGAGATTTTTGAACTTTGTGTTACGATCAATGAGGGGAATATTATTGGCCTGGAGAATTGATATACCCGCTCTCTGTGGCTTGTTCTGCTCCTGGACTGCCCCTGCCCCCAAGGTGTACGATTCCATCAGACACTTAACCTCTTTTACAGTGTCATCAGGCTAAAAGGAATCTAATAGTGACACGGGACTTGTGCTCAGCACTCTGGCACTATTGCTTTCCTGTCACAAATAATTTATAGCTTTCTATTTCCATCCCTTTGCCTGCACCCCATCCCCTTTTTCTGTTTCTCTGGGCTGGGGGAAATCAATAAACTCACACAACCAGAGTGGCACTTCAGGGGGTTTTAGGGGGAATGTGAGAAAAGAGAAAAGAAAAGAAAAAATCAGAAAAGAAGAAAAAAGTTGTATTATTTGCCCCAGCACAGACTTCTCAGATAAGTTCCTCAGCTAGTGCAAATCAGCATGACCTCAGAATCTGGCCCTGTGAGGTTCTCAGACACCTTCTGTATAGGTCCTCAGCAGCTCTAGATTAGGGACCCTCATACCACTGACCTATATAGGGTGAGGACCTGGACCTCCATCCCCAGCTAGAACCTTGATATTCCCTGTCTCCAGCTATGTCCCAGGCAGCCTCTCTGCCACTCCAACAACTGCCCAGGCTTCATTATGTGTGTACCAGAGTTTTGTAACATACTGATATGATACGCTCTAAAATACCTTTCTTCTCCCAAGAAGGTTTCGCTCTCAGGAGTTGTGCCCTCTCAACATCTCTGCCTATCTAGCCACTAGCCACAGATGTGCTCTTTGAAGTTTTGCCAACTTATTCTTTAGAATGAATCTTTAAGGGAAGCTCTCTCTTTGGTGGAAAGGAGTAATTTGTTTTCACTTTCTGGAGAGATTTTGGGGGAGAGTTTAAAGCTAATATAATGCAGGGCTGAGAGTTCCAGAAACTCAGGCTGAAGAACATCTGCAGTGTTCACCCTAATTGGAAAGGCTCGTTTTAATCTCAAAGGAATTTGGTCTCAATGGTCTTTGCAGGTCATGGCTTATTTGCAAAGTTCCTTGGTGAGGCTCCTGAGTCACAGATACCCACACCTGCCAGCAGGCAGGGACCTTGACAGTCAAGTACTAGGTGCTAGTGATTTTCTTTCACCACTGACCTCAGCTGGGTTTAAATCAGTGACCTAGAGGTGAAAGATTTAATGTAACAAGAAATAGAGCACTGACAATTACAGTTTATTTTCATTCTTGAGCTTTGTGTGATTCACTGAGACATCTACCTGAGTTCCCATGCTGAGATCATTCACCTCCTGATAAAGACCAATTTTTGCCCTCTTTGCTGAAGCTTCTTTTTCCTGGTTAACTATATCCCATCACCACTTCCTACGGATGCCTTCTGCTCCCACCTTCTCATTTATGAAGGGCAAGGGCTTTGGGCAAGCCTTCCACCAGTTCAAAGCATTCAGCATTCAGTTCTATGCCAGAAAGGTATTTTTTAAGTCCACAACAAAATTAAATCTACACCACTTGTAAATCCAGCAGTGGCTCTATTATCTGCAAAGACTGCCTTGTGTTCATGCTGGCAGATCAGGTCCTAAATGATAATGCAGTTGCTAAAACACAGGACATCCTAGCTTGTTACCTGAGCACCAGTTTTGCAGTGAATACCCAGGTTTCGGGGAAAGATGACAGAGCAGAGCAAGGACAATCTCCTGAGAACTGGACCATTGAAGCAGTAGAGTCAGGACTGTGAGAAGGCAAATGAAGTGACTCTGCTGCATGCAGAGCTCAGGCCAGATCTTCAGGTTCTCAGCTGGGATCGCAGGTATGCAAAGGCACATGGAGAAGTTGCAGTAGAGTTCTGAACGTGTTCTGCTCTTTTTCAGGATCATCAGAACCAAAGTTCAGCAACCTTTTCACCCAACACCAGATGGGAGTGGGACAGGTGTGACTGCACCAGGACATACTATCGGTAAGGAGACTGGCACGAGGGGTGGTGACAGGACAAGTGGAAATGAGGATGATGCTTAGTTGAGGGAACAAAGTCTGACAAGCGGATGCTAAGCAGAGCAAAAGCGAGGAGGGGTGGGGGTGAGGGGGGTAGGGGGGAAGGAACCTCAATGGACATCAGAGGTTTCTGTTCTTTATTTCCCTCCTTACATTGCAGAGAAGGGAACTGTGGCAGAGAAACCAGCCCAGGGTAGGGGTTTGCTCTGCCTTAACATCCATTTCATGTTCACACTCTTTCCTTAGCTTCCCTAGGGAGAAGCATTTGCTGCTACCCTGTTTAAGCATCAGTCTTCAACAGTTGTCTCCTTACTCTGACTCTCTTTTCCCCCCTCTCTCCCAATTTCTTTTCTCTCTCTTTGCTGGAACTGGTCCATTTCTTAGAGCTAGTAAAAACAGACATGGGTAAGATATTCCTGATGCCTCATAACTGAGTTCTTCATTGTTCTGGCTCTGCAGCCAGGTATCCTATGGGTGTATTTCACAGAGAAAATGCATTTTCTGCTGGGGGAAATGGGTTTTTCAAGGTGAGCAGAAGATGGAGGCTGTAATAAAGTGACCAAATATTGTGTTTAAAGGTACTGTGCTAGATGTGCGATCAGGTACTTTTCACTCTGTGGGCTGTATGGTGCATATATTGTTGTAGCTTTATACAGTAATAATTCAGAGCAGGAAAAAACATGCAATATTTTGGGATACTGTGATATACAGTGGCCTAAGACACTTTCTGAAATACTGTTGGTTACCAAGAATTAGCTGCTATACAAAGATTTACTGGAGAATACAAAGATTGACTGGAAAGTGATGGTCTACATGGGACAGAGCTGGCAGATACAATTCTGTACATGAATTGTGTTCTGGAGCACAGTGGAATTTATGGGCCAGTATGGAAGAGCATTTCTGGATGCCCTTTTAATCCGGACTTGCTCATTGGACTGGGAATCACTAACTACAACAGATGGAGCTGGCAGATACTATTCCTTCTTGGAAAAGTAGTGGATGTCTAGGGAAAGCATTGGTTGAGCTGGGATAGGAATTGCAAGTGCTGCTACTGGAGTGTTTTATTGCTCTGGGATGTACTGGGAAGTGTGGGTCTACATGGGATACTGTTGACAGGTTTTGCTCCACCCTGGAAGGCTTGTATTGGAGGCATTGATTTCTTCAGGACAGTGCTTTATGAGTTGAATGATGGGTAGTGGCCTGCAAGAAACTTGGGATATTCTCTCCATTACTGGGACATGCTGGGACATAAGGGGCATGCCTACTGGATGCATAGCTCTACTTGTTCTGTACTCGAAAGCCCTGATTATCATGAAGTGATCATTTCTAACCTGTATGACTTGTCATTTCTGAGATATTGGAAACTCATGAGCAGTCTTGGACAGCCCTGAGTGGCAGGAGGAGTCTGCCTGTTGACATTGGTTAGTACAGGAAGGAGACACTAGATTTTTATTAATCTGTTCGTTAGTACAAGAATGATACACTATATTTTTATTAATCTGGGTTGGAGTCTGTATCCCCAACTCACCATTTGGTCCAGTAGGGAACTGAATTTATTGAGCCAATACTGAAGTGCTTCTAATCCTATGCTAAGAATGTAATTTCTCAATGAGTGTTTGGATGGACATGTGAGAGGCTGGTCTGGCTAAGACAGAACATGTGCACTCCTGGTGGAAAAACGCTGAGAGGAAATGATCTGGCAAAATATGGATGTACTAGGAAGCCACTGGAGAATGTGGGCTATGCACCATTGCACTCCGTTACTATGGCACGCACTGGAAAGCCTGCTCTGAACTGGGATGTAACAACAAGGTTTAGTTAGCTTCTTGATGGAATATACTTGCTTGTTATTAATGGCCCTGTACTGGAAGGCTGTTGAGCTATGGTATAGGAATGACAAAGCTGGGATGCAGTAATGTTAGCAGTAGAACGAGTATGAGTCTTTCAGTGTGAGGGACTGGAAGTCTACTTAGTGCCCAGGCTTTCCTATGAGACTGGTGGCATGTGTAGCTTTCAGCTGTGGGATCCCTGAGTGCTGTGCTGCTCTCCTCATGGCCCTTTTTCCCTTTTCCTTTTGTCCAGTGCCCAGCACAGCATCCCCTCCCGTCTCCAGTGCCTCCAATGATCCAGTGGGCTCTTACTCCATTAACGGGATCCTGGGGATTCCTCGGTCGAATGGCGAGAAGAGGAAACGTGATGAAGGTAGGGGGAGGGGAGAAGTTCATCCTCCCTTTTATATTCTTTGTCCCCATGTACAGGCTCCAATTTCAGGCCAAGGTTTGCAGCTGCTGCAGGGGCTAGATCAGTTTTAGCAACAGAGACCAGTTCCCCACCACTGCCCTGCTGGCTTGGAATTCTCTTCTTCCGAGGCCCTTTCATGACAGGCTGCATCTCCAGACATCTGCTCAACAGGCAGAGAGCCGTCTCCATTGCTGGAGCTGATCCCAAGTTCATTCACTGCTGGAAATGGCTGGAACTGAACTCCCCAGGTGCCAGCAGGTGCCCGGACTTTGAACTGCGGGTAAACATGGTTTCCCCGACTCACTCGTTTAAAAAAAAAAATGCTGTCTTGGAGAAGCACCAGCAATGTAGGAATTATTTACCATTCCCCTTGCAAACAAGTTCCTGCCCTGTGAAGTGCCATGAGCTACATTAGGTGGTGATTATAAGGGCACAGTTTTCAATGGATGGCATCTACCGCAGCAGTACTGCCATGCTTGCAACAGTCTGAAAGCAGAACAGGAGGTCTTCCGAGTACTGTGGCCCTAAAGCTGTTATCTAAGAATTTCAATAGGGCTCTAAGGAATTAGGATTAAGCCATCTCCCTTTCCTTCCTACCTGCTGGGAAGGACTCAGAGCAAAGTGAAATGAATCAAAAGTTGGAGCCTCAGGTATAGACAGACTGAGTCAGGATGGGTGGGTGAGGTCTTGGTGCTCTTACGGTGGCTTTGTAAACTTTTTTTCCTTAAATCTTGTTCTTTTAATTTGATGCATTCAAAAATTCAGGATAGTGACCTTTTCTAAGAGTAGTGCCTGACCAGTTTGTTCAGTACAGCCCTGCCTCCAGTATGTTGTTTTCCACTGTTGCCTGTTGCATGGGGACAACCTCTTAGCAGCACTGGTGGGTCAGTGTACTGTGTGTGCTGTAAGCCCCAGACTGCGTGGTACAAGAGAGCATGAGGGTTCTTTGTGTGATATGTGGTGAGAAGAGAAAGTTCTTCTGAGAGAGATGCTGTATTTTGGGAGTTTGCTAGTGATTTTCTCAGCATTGGTTCTGGTGAGGTTTACATATGCAAGTTTTTGATCCAAATAAGCACAGTAATTCTAAGGAAAAAAAAAAAGAAGGCAGTGATCGTGACCCCTTTCTTCCTAATACAAGGTGAAACTAGAGGCAAGGACCCAATCTAGCTCCTGTTAAATGGGAAGATTTTTGCTGATGTCATTGAAAATTGGATCAGGCCCCAGAGGAAGATCCATTTCCCAGCTAGATGGCAGTAGGGCCCAGCTAAGAGAAAAGTGTAGCAATGGAAGGGCTGAGTCAATGCATCAAAGTCAAAAAATGTCAGGAATAAGAGAGTGCAAACATTACAAACCCCTCCAGCATTTCCCATCATTACATATACAGCAAATAGTGACATTTCAAACTCAGTGACAAGTTTCTTTAATGTTTGTGCAAATCTCTTGGCAGTTATTTGGAGTTTTATTGAACCCCACCTCTCACACAGTCCAGAGTGGTGATCACCAGCTCTCAACATGGGGCCTCCATATCTCATTTTGAAATGAAGCAGTTCATTTGGCTTTGGTGACCATTCTTTCCAAATACCTGCAAAGATCATGTCACTTTAGATGCAGCCACACTGTCGCTTTCAGCCTCAGAACCTGAGCTTTTCTGGAGCAGTACAATTAAACACAGAAACAATAGAGCAGCTATCTAAGACTGTGACAATTCACAATAATATACTGACAGTAGGAACAACTCTCTGCTGTTGTCTGTCCTTAATTCATCCCAGATTTGATTTATGAAGGGCAAGCAATATTCTGCAACTCTCTGCTGTTGGCCAAGGGCCCATATATCGGAATCAAAACAGTATCAGACAATCCTGGAGACGTTGCTTGTCTTTAGCTCTCCAGAGTTTTAGGCAGCAGTTACATGACAAAGCTGCAAGCACATTAGAGAACAGGCTTCCTCTTGCCATCCCAGGTACCTCCTTCAAGGAGATAGCGCACTCCTGTCCCAGAGAAACCTCGCATGAGAACCCCTGCCAGCTGCTGAACACCCCTAGCCAAGGGTTGAGTTATCTGGGCTCACACTGGCCTTAAGAAATGCTGAAAGACATCATCACTTTGCAGGGTTGGGTCCTAAGGCTAGAAGGGTCCATGGGGGCATTTGCATAACCAGAGACCTGCACTCACTCCTGGGAAATCTCCCCTATAGCAGTGATGACTCTTGTTGCTCCTAGCTGAGAAGGGGATTAGCAAAGCCTGGCAAGAAATCCAGTGCAGGTATTTCTTTCATGCTCTTGCTGAATACATACACCTCCTCAGTATTTCCCAGAGCTTCTGAGCACTGTTCTGTTCCAGTTTCTTAACTGCAGGGTTTATCCTCATGTTGAAAAGCCCTTATGCGCTCCCAACACACATCTGCTTCCCAGCATTTTGGGGATGGCTCTTCCCTAAAGAAGGCAGAAGAACCAGCACTGCTGTCTCTTTTCTTTCCGCTCTGTTGGACCAGCTCTGCTTCAAGGATTCCTCTGTGAGGAATGCAGTTCAGCAGAAAGGGGGAAGTACCAAGCTGCTCCTGAATCCCTGGTTCTGAAAACCTTGTTAGCAACCTCTGTGATGGCTGAGGCGAACAGGGTGGGAGAAAGACAGAGGAGCCTCTATCTGAGCACACCCCCTCCCCCAGGTCCTCCTTGCTGCAGCTGGTGCCTACATTAGACAGTAGCTCAAATGATTAAGAAGAGGAAAGATAATTATGTGTCAAGATGATGTAGCAGAACTCCCGAGTTGGACAGAAGGAGCCAGACAGATGCATGAGGTGGGCTCAGCGATGGACGTTGACAGCCAGGTGTGAACCTCACAGGGAGTTAGAGGGAAAAGAGAAAATCCCAACCTACCAAATCTGCTGGTTACAACTGCAAGGGTAGCCTGGGAAGACTATGGCAGTGAGAGAGCTAGCAGGAAGGTAGCTCTGAGTGTCTACTAGTCACAATAGGGAACTGTCAGATCACAAGTCTTCCCCCAGAACTCAGTGTGTCTTCCTCAGGTGAGTGCCTAGGAAGGATGGTCAGGATTTGCCCTGTTGAGCCTATGCATTCCTTTTGTTTCCATTTTTGATGAGTGGTTGTAAACCCTCTGACTTCCAGACAAAGCAGAGAGTTGGTCTCCTATGGTTATAAAAATAATTTGGCTGAAAAAGTTCACCACCACTTGTCTAGCACAGCGTGTGCCACTTCATGCAGTCTATGAGCGCTGCCAATACTGATGTTATTTCCCTCTGACCTTTCCCACCATTTACACACACCATCTTCTAGAGGCAGAAGTGGCCCTGCAGCATGTAATGACTTTCCCAAGACCACGAGGTCTTGCTGCAGCTGGAAACAGGAATTCCTGGCTCTTCACAATCCTAACGTTGTAATATGCTGTGATAGCAAGCTAAGCTCAGCAGGGTCACTGTCAGACTAAGGAGCAGCAATAAGAAATCCAGAAGAATAAAGGAGAAAAATAATATGCAAATATTTCTGTTGTTGCATAACCCCGTATCCTTTAGTTGATAGCTAAAAGGAGGAGAACGGGGATAGCTTGGAAGCACTAACAAAAAATAAATATCATTCATACTGTAGTCTTGAGTACTGTGTAAGGAGAAAAAGGGAGAGATGAAGAGAAAGAGAAGAATGGATAGATAGATGGACAGATAGATGGACAGATAATTAGAAAATATGAAAACAGTAAAACAGTATTTCAAACTGTCTTTGCACGCCACAGGATCTCCAGCTGGGTGAAGCTTGGGATCTTTACAAAACACTCTTGCTAGAGATTAGAGATAGCTCTTTCTCTCCATACCAGTCTACAGACTTCCTCTATAGACCCAAATTCTCATTTGGGATTCGTCTTCCAGTGAGGCTGGTGCTGTAACATTCTCAGCATCATTAATCTTGGTCCCTGACAGTATCTGAAGTATTTGACAGCATTACTGGCAATAATATCTGCAGTGCTGACAATGGCAGAGATAATATCCCCCAGTATTATTGGCATTAGCAGGGATCATATCTGCAGCCTGTTATTGGTGGGAGCAGACATAATGTGTCCAGTATTATTAGTATCAGTAGTAATAAAACTCATAGGCTTGTTAATACGATCAGTGCTAATATCAGCAGTAGGTTTGTGGGAGAGGAGGGGATGGAGTGATTGCTACTGTAAATGGCAATAATACTCGGGCTGTTTGCAGTAAAGGAATCCCCAGTGGAGATGGGGGAGCAAATGTGAGAAAGCAAAAGTTCCTCCTTTCCTTTCTTCACCTGGGGATCTGATGATCAGACTGATTTACACTGAAGTAAGCGATGCGGACTACGTCAGTGCAGGAGGACAGTAAATGGTCACCAACATTTTGTCAGGTCTGTGATGGTGATGTTTTCCAAAGAGTGTTAGTTCTATCAGTGCAAGTAGTTCACTGTACACTTCAAAAAGGGGTTGAGCTATGCAGAATAGGGTGCTGCCTACTAGCACTGGGAGCACTTACACTGTTAGTCATGTAGCTGCAGGACAGTCAGCATAACTGCCCTTCTCATTGGTGCTACACACACAATTTTCTGCCATTACCACAACACCTCTACTGAGAAGCACTGCTTTTGTTATAGGTGGCTTTCTCTTCCCTCACTCCAGATGGGAGGGCAGGGGTTTGGCAGTGTTCAGCTTGGGAATTCTCCTGCCTGGCCATGATCTCATTTTCCTACAAGGAAAGCAGAAATGTCTCCTTCAGGTGGAGCGTGAGGCAGGGAGATCTACAGCAGTCCCAGTACCGAAAGTCATGTTTTTCTAAATACTGCCCCAGGATATATATTGTCTTGAAGAAATTCAGTTGTTTAAGTGAAAAGTAGTGCAGAAAGATGTGTAATGTGTTTAAGAAGGTCTGAAGTTGTGAGCAGATACACAGCAGCTGTGTGTCACTGCAACTATGATCCTATTTGTGCTGTTCAGAGTGC